ACAAGTATATGATATACATGGATAGTACAATAAGCATAAAGGCCAAAAAAAATATAGCAACTAAAAATAAAATAGGCATAAGATGAGTTCAAACAAATAAAATACAAAAATGATTAGAAGAAGAAATAATACTAGTTCTAGAAAAATAACAAACATTAATAATAGTAAAGTTAGTAACAATATATATAGCAATTTTAATAATACTAAAAGAAAAGCAATTAAAAATATATATAAATAGTAATACTGTAATACAAAATATTAATAAAGACTTAAAACAAATAGACAGAAATAAAATTCTCAAAAAAAAACATTATATAAATAATAAAAATTAAAGACTTTGTTATAATAAAAAATATTTAGATAAAATTAGTTAAAATAAAAAGTTATAATAAATATAAGTGAAATAACAAAGCTAATAGTCTGATAAAAAAAGAGCAACAAGTAAGAAGAAAGTATAGGCTAAAAAATTAGTTGTAAAAAGATAAAGTACTGTTTAGAATAGAAAAATAAATAAACTGACATACTAACAAGGTTGTTATATAAGTTAATAATAAATGTAAAATTAGGATCAGAGTAGAAAAAATAAGAATAATTAAAAACTTAGAACCAGAAGCAAAAGTTACAATCTATAATTGAATATATTTTTAGAAAAGACTGAAGATAACTAAAGGGATGCATTGTATAACAAGAAAAAGTAGTATTAGAAGAAGTATATTTATAAAATATGTAATAAATAAACTTTTAATCTTAGAAGAACTCAACAGAAAAAGACCAAATATATATACAATAACAAAATACCAAATATGTTAAAATAAATTAAAAGAAACACAGATATATTTAATAGCATATAAGAAACAAAAAAGCTTATAAAAAAAATCTAAAAAGTGACTATTATAATAGTATAAAAAAAGTTAAAGAAGAAGAAAAAAGATTAAACTCATTTATATATATTATATATAATATTCTTTAAAAAAATAAAAATAGAGAAAATAAAAATAAGAGAGGTGCTAATCAAAAATCTAATTTTAAAAAAAAAACACAAAACAGATTAAAACAGTTTTTAAGCATAAAATTATAATAACAGTTTACAAATATAATAGCAAAACAGTTTAGAATACATTTTACAAACAAATATAAAGAATTCAATAAGATTAATGAATAGAAAAAAAAATAAGAATAACAGATAAATTAAAAAAAAAATTAAGTAAAAGAAAAAAAACAAATTAGTAAAAAGTAGAAGAAAAAAAAAAATACAAAAAACAATTTTGAGACTTGTTATAAAAGAAAGTAGACTCTTTTATTATGAATTTTAAATAATTAGACAAATAGCTTATTTTTGCTTAAAGTAATATGACAGGCTGCACTTAGGTACTATTAAGATAGCTAGGTGATGTTAGACTAAGTTGTTAAATATATTTATATAATTGCAAATATAATTTTAAAATCTTAATAAACTATTAATATAATTGCTTAAAAAAATATATACATATATATATATAAGATGAAAGTTTAACAATATAGCTTTTAAAAGCAAACCAATTATTTTTATATAAGTAAATATTATTTTAATTCATAGTGCTTTACTTAATACTATATTATAGTAATTTGTTAAAATAAAATTTATTAAATTTAAAAAATTTATTTTTTTGTTTATAATTACTAATATATTAAATTTAAAAAATTTTTTTTCTTATTTATAATTGTAATTTACAATTGATTATTCTATTTTTTATATACTCAATATTTACTAATAATGATTAAGTTATAAGCTTAAATAATGTTGCTGCTATTTTAACTCTTATATGTAATATTTTTTAAAAGTTAAATTTTTTATAATTATTTTTAATTTGAATCTGTATTTGTAATTATTTTTACTTTCTAGATTAAAAGCTTGCATTGGGTTCTGCAATCTGATCTAATCTGCAAAAATTTGTGAACTAGACTGGGTCTAAAGTAAAATTTTATAATTGCAAGTCAGATTAGACCAAAAATTTTTTAAAATTATAAATAAATTTTGTGAGCTGAACCAAGTTAGACTAGACTAAAAAAAAAATTTGATATATGTAAACTGAATTAGGTTAGCAACAAAATTTTAACTCTAAATATAGGCTGGGCTGGATCTCAAAATAGATAATTTGCAAGCCTCTTATTTGTAAATTCTCTAAAGTTTTAACTACTTTAGTAAATTTATTTTATTTGTATTTAAAATAATAATTATATAAATAAAAGTTTAAAGATTAAGTCTAATTGTGAGTATTGGTTTTTATTATAACATTAATATAAAAAACTATGTTTTGTATACAATAACTAACTCCATGTAGTTGTTAATTTTCAAACTATCAATAAAGATATATGCAGAATCTCACCTTATTTTCAAAAAAAAATTTGTATATGAGAAAAATATATTTGATATATTATGTAAATCTAATCATAATTTTTTTACATACATACTTTTAAAAATGTTAATTATATATTATTTGAAATAGATATTAATAAGATTATATCTATTTTCAAAGATAATAAAAATATTAAAGCATAAGGTGTTCTAAAAAAACCAATCTATAAAGTTCAATAAATATATTAAGTTATTTAATTATAGTCATCTACATTTTTTATAAGTAAAGTTTTACATAGTATAAAAATCTGATATTAATAATAATCGATTTCTTTTTTTTGATGATTTGTAGAATTTTGCAAACCACAATACTCGATTAAGTTGGTTTTAAAAAATGTAATCGATTAGTTGTCAACTTGTTCAACTAATCGATTTTTCAACTTTCGATTTGTACCACTAGTGGCGATTTTACCCTGGTCGTATGAGGACGATGTCAACATCTCACGTGTTTAGTTTCAAACCGACTTTGAACACTAATTAAAAAAATGTTGAAAACAATGTTTTACACACAGAAAGTTATACATCATTTTTTTATATTTTCCAAACTAATGTTTTAAACTTAAATTTCTATCTTTTTTATAATTTCCTTTTTAGGGTTTGTATTACTCACGTAAATATGTAAATGCAAACCATAACCAATTCGATCTATTAAATATTAATACGTATACATGTGTTGTCAATTGGAATATTCGAACCCAGACATCGGACCAATTGGACATATGTCCAGTCTAGAGATGGGCAAGGTAATAATGTAAGTAATGATTACTTATTTTTTTACCCAGTACTTAAACTTACGTATTATTACCAATTATTGCTTATGATGTATTATTACAATTTTCAAATGTAATCTGGAGAGTAAAATTTTAAACTCAATAATTTGTTGTTCGGATTGAATTTGCATATTTACTTATTATTATTTATTACGTAAAAAATTGTCGGAAATATTTAAAAATAATAAGTAATAATATATTAACTTAATTTGCCCATCTCTAGTCCAGTCTCCATTGGAATATGTCCAATTGGTCCAATTGACAATACTACATGGAAAGGAAAATTAGAGACTTGCTCCCGCATAACGATAACAGTTCCTTTATGTCATGCTTGAGTAATTACAAGTTACTATAACATTATCACAAGTTGTAATGATAATAACTCTTGGAAATAAAAATTTGCAACTGATCTTACATTGGAAAGTGTATAACACTGCCATTCTTTTCAATGTTTTTCTTTTGACAGATTACAAAATTGGGGCAAGGTGCACGTCTACAAAAAATAATGAAAGAACAAAGATTGTCTTTTTTTAATGATATTATTATAATGCCATTCAAAATTGAAAAGTTTAACGCCATCCTCCCCTTCTGGTCAACCGTTCTAAAATCACTTGAAAATTCATATAATGCTGAGTAATAATCATTATTTTTAAGCACCGATTATGTAAATGGTATGCTATATAGAGGAGTTTCTTTTAATACGTAGATAGTTTATCTCATCGACAACTTATTTTTGCTGACGGTTTATGTCAAACGGCGGTTTTTGTTATAAATTACATTAACCTTTATTTCTAAACCTAAACCTAATCCGAATTAATTTTTTATTCAACATAATACTAAATAGCTTGTGAGAGGGCATTAAAAAAAGAAAATACAATGATCCTATTGGCTATAAAAAATATTTAATACTGCAATTTGATTGGTTGATATAATACTTATTTTTTATACAAAACTGGGGGAATTATGTTAAACATAAGATTAAATTGGTCCGGATAAACTAACTAGAATTATTTTGTCTGTGAAGTAAGCTGTCGGTAAAATAAACTATCTATGAAATAAGCTATCAAATGCCTATGAAATGGACTTGTCTGTGAATTAATTGTCTGTAAAACAATCTTGTCTGTAATTAAAAGTCTGAACTAAATTGTCGGTGAACGCTTAAATCCCTCTTCCTCAAAGTTGAACTCAATATTGACATTAAATAACCAATCAATTCTGAATGGTCTTAAATGGAATAAGTAATACCGATTTTATAAAATTTAAATCTTTTACCTGAGTTTAATCATTAAAGCATCAATCCGCAAAACGTCATCATTTTCTATGTCCGCTACCATGTGACTGATGAAGGGTCGACATAAGGGTCGACCTGAAAAGTTTGACTAATCCGAATTTTTAAAACTAAAAATAAGCTTGTTTACCTAATTTACGCATGGTGCCTGTTCATGTCACAAAAAAGTCGATCCATGATTTCCGGACTTGAATCAGATAGTACGAGTAAATTTGAAGCAAATACGTGCATTGGACAAAATTGGACATTTGGACACTTGGGTTGGACGTCCAATATCCAATCAAAGCTGTTGGACATGACAACACTGCGTATGCGTATTAATACGTATGTATTACTATTATTTAATCTGCAAACCGCATAACTGATAATGTATTTAATATTATATATGCACGTACGTACGTATACGTAAACACAACATTTTTTTTGTAGCATGATTAAGCTTCATGATTTATACTTAAACCAACTTTACAGTAATTCTAAATTAGTTTTATCACAAATTTCTCATTTTACTTCCAAGTAAGTTTACGAGTATAAATTAAAACGAACCTTAATATTGTCCTAAAATGAGCGAAACTCCGGAGTTCCAATCCGGATAAAATCCGTTATATATATCTGAATTTATCTGGATATCCGACAAATATTAGATCATTATCTGAATATAGGTTAGTGGTGGCAGAAAGAATTCTCGATCAGGTGATTTCTGATCGTTACCATCAGAATATGTAAATCATTTCTTTTCGTCACTCATATCAATAGTAAAATGGATATCCAATAGATAAATGGATAAACGGATAATGGATAAACGGATAATGAATAGGAACTCTATAATACACATGCCATACAAAATTAATTTCTTGGTTTCATAACCTTGGGTTGAACCTTGTTAATCGGGTAATCTTTTTTATCGTTATGTGTAAACTTTTCAGGAAAAAAAGCAGGCGATCGGTGGTTGTTTCAAAATTTGTTATGAAAACCAAGAAATTAGTTTTGTGTGGTCTTAGATTTAAAATTGAATTATCGTTATGTATTATTATGTATTAAATTTTTTTTAAAAAAGTCATGTGACTTATTTAATTAACATCTATTTGAGTTACAATCAAAAATGGTTCTTTTTAAATTAGAGAAAATTTTATAACAAAAGAAACATACATTAAAGGGACTACTATGTATATATATATATATATAGAAACAAATTTATAGTAACGCAAATTTGTATTACGAAATTTTTTTTAGTTCAATTCTAACCAATAAAATGTCAATGATTTTTGCAAAGAATGATCTAAAACATGTTTCTCATAAAAGTACAAACCATTGAGAAGGGTGAAAGATTAAGCATTCGAAATTGTATCATTTTACATTATTTTAATGCGAATAAGGATGTAAGCAGGATGGAAATCACTGGGAATATTGTGATCACTAAAGAATTAGCAGAACTTTTCACAGGAGTAGAATCCGCTGCCGATTTGGTTGATTGTTTTGCTGATGAGGCTGATGAGGCTGATGTTGCTGGTGAGGCTGATGAGGCTGGTGCGATTGATGTTGATGTGCCATTAGATGTTTGAGTGGAATTATTACCTGGGCTACCTCCAACTTCTAAGTATGGTTTGGTATCTCCTACACATTGAGGTACTGTAGTCATATTCAAACCCTTAACTTTGACAGCTAATTTTAGGACTTTAATTGCCGCAGCTACAGTTTGAGGATAAAGATCATGTTGAAGAACAATAAATCCTGTGGACATAGTCGGGAATATTTGTGTCCAATTATTAAAAGTATTGATTACAACGTCATCTTTCTCAGGTGGAGTGGCGACAAGTTTCCAATCATTGCTGTCAAAGGTCGGAATCCAGAGAACAGCTGTGTTCAAAAAATCACAATTATTAAATGAATGAAAATACTCAAAAATAAATAACTAAATCAATAAATAAATGAAAAAAGCAACATACTTTTCAAACCCATTGCACGTGTAATTGCACGAACACGATTGTCGGTATCGCCAAATGGGGGACGATAGTAAATAGGCGTGACGCCGCAAACATCTTTGATAGCCTAAGAGAAATAAAATTAATTTTTTCTTTTAATAAAATTATAAAGTATTTAAGAAATCCCACTTTATATAGAAATTCAAATACCTTTACTGTCCAATATAGTTCAGCGATAACTTGTTCGTTGGAAAGAGAAGTAAGTGCAGGATGTGACCAAGTATGCACAGCGATATTGTGACCTATAATTAAAAATGTAACTTAGAATCTGAATAATGTTGAACGACGCATTATAATAAAAATAATTACCTCTTTTGTAAGCGTCTGCAAGAATACCAGGATTAGAAACTGCGCGGCTACCAACGACAAAGAATGTGGCTTTCAAATTGCATTCATCTAGAGTATCCAACAACTGAGGCGTCGACTCCGATGGGCCATCATCATAAGTTACCCCCCAATTTCCTACTGTTGGACATTCTTGAATATCATCGGAAGCAGTATGCTTTTGACAAGTCCAAGATCCTTGGTCTGGATCGAGTTGGGTTGAACTATTGCAAGTGGGTTGAAGATGATTGGGTACACCACCATTAGAACGCGGAAGGTTTGGAACTGAACTTAAATTTAATCCCTTAATATATTCTTGGACGACAGGATCATTTGGATCAGGTGTAGTATCGAGTGGAGGATATACCATTGTCTTGCCATTGATTGTCACCGTAGTACTTGGTTCCGATGCGGAAGAGACAGAAGCTGGAGAATTAGCAACAGTAGGACTGGGTTTCTTAGCAGCGTTCACCGTACAAGTAATCAAAAGAATAGCTGCAACGAATGTGCGAAACCTCATTTTTGTTATTTTAATTTGTTAACGATGTAAAGGAGTTTTATTATAATTTGTTGAAATGCTAAAAATAATATTGTTTATTATAAGTTTATTTTAATTTTTTTTTATTTTCTATTGATTACAAAGTTGTAGACAAGCGAGAATAATGAAAAACAAGGAAGGGTACGAGAAAACGAAAGGAAGGTTGGCCAAGGGTAGGCCTAAAGAGAAAAGGATGAAAGAGAGACGAAAGTAGTGGAAACTTGCGACTCCAACTAAGAAGGAACAAGAAAAAAAAAACGTTCCAGTTGATTATTCTAATCAAACTTCAAAAGGAAGAGTAAGATTATAAGGTTTTCAGCGCTTACTTTTAATAAATTCTCGAACCAATCTTTCCAGAATTTCTTGAACTGAATGTCACACTGCGCATTCAGAGAGGACGCATACATGCATACATGCATCAACTAAATTTAATTAATTTTCACCAATTAAGAAAATACTCTTAAATTGGACGATGATACGATATTAAACCGGATAGTTATAATTAATTAATAACTTGGATGAGGGTCCTGCAGGTATCTACGTAAAGAAACCAACCAAATATTGCTGCTGGTGAAACAAAATAATATCGGGAACCGACTATAGGCGCAGATCATAAGTTATCTTTGAGGTGCTAAAGTCATCATTCTGTACTGGTCCGAACTGAGATAATATTAATAAGATTTTGTCCATACTAAGTTCAGACTGATTTTAAACCGAACTTTGAATGAAGTGACTGAGAATTTTAATATTTTTAGGTTATTCAAAGATTTATCTTATTTTTATGTATATCACGTGTCCACATTCGGATAAACTGTCTTGCACTACCGTATATATATATATATATTTCGTATTTAATGCTACGTAATTAAATTTATTACCGTTATGTGTTCATATATAAGGAATTTTTATATGTACGTAACATACGCATGTAAGGAGCCATTGCTAAAATTGGCAAAAATAAAACAATGAGCTTTGTTAAAATTTAAATATTTATATGACAAATAATAAATTTAAAATTTATTTAAAACATAAGATTAATCAATAAATTAAAGATTTTTTCAAGTCTAAGATCGTAAACAAGAGATTGTTAATCAAAATTATTTAATTAAACTATGCTTATTGTTATACGTACGTAGATTTCTTAATGATTTTTTAATTATATATGACTTTTTGCCCTATTGTGGTATCGACTCGTAACACGAGTTAATACGCCAAGTTGTTTTCCACGTGATGAAACAATTTAACAAATTTCTATTTATACCATATTGTACAAATTTGTTGCATAGCGATAAATACACTATATTTAATCACGAATTTATAAATTTTTTACCAATGCTTTATCAGTTTTATCGTAAAATGTGGAAAATAAGCACAGCACCATCTACCCTATTTTTTTCAATCTTAGATTAGTGGAGATAGCAATAAAACAATAAATCCGTCAATCTGAGATGGAAAGAAGTAGGGTAGAGGGTGCGATTAGTAGCGTGAGTCCCATTATGAGATGAATCCAGGTATTAGAAACTTAACATTTACCAATAGAAAGAATTCATACTCCTTTTTTTTAAGTATTGGCTACGTTTAAATTAAATTATCATTGCGGATTATAAGCATTTAATTTATAATAATAAAATTTTTCTTGGCGATTGGCAAAATTAGTCCTTATTATGATTCGCCAAGAAATCTGGAATAAATTCACAAAGATCTTATCTGATTCGCCAAGACATTTGGAATTCACAAAAATTTTATTTGAACGTACAACATAAGTACAACATAAGTACTCTTTTAATCCTGGTATGGATGAATTTTTTTTATTAGTGAAATATCACTCGGTATTACGTCTTATGATAATTGAAAACGCAATTGAGACTGACCAAAATTCCAGATCGAAAACATTTAGAGCTGAGGCTGGCGTTTTTATTATTTATTGCAAAATTTATGAATTGTGCAGATAATTAAAAAAAAGTAAGCTTTAATGTTACATGATAAAATATGTAATAATATACATACTTATTTGATCTTTTATACGTATGATGAATCTGCAAAATTCATACAACAATAAGTCTAAAGAAAATCGGAAATCAATTGATCAATGATTTGCAAACTGCAATAATAGATAATGATATACCAAATATATAGATAATAGCATGCTCTGACTTGAGGATTAGAGGTGCAGGTGAATCGTCCCAATGATGTTACGGCTTAAGCTGTAACTAGTTAAAGCTTATGTCGTAACTAGTTACGGCAATCATTGGGACGAATATACGCATGTAAAAGTAAACTGATTATATATGCGAAATTGACCATCAAGGTCGGTTTTATTGATATAAAAATAAATTACAACATAATTATGTTTTAGAAATGCATTACTCTTTTTGAATTTCTCATTTCTATTTGAGGATTGGTTTATTATCATTCAGCTTTTTAGATCTTTTTTGAATTGTCAATTCCTTGTGCATTTACAATCATTTCATTCTAAAATCAAGCATTCATTTTAATAAATTTGTTATATAAATATTTATAAGCAATAATTTTTTTTTTTAATGTTAAAGGTAAGTACTTGTAACCTAGGTTTTTATTAATAGTATGTTTCAGCTTTGTAATTGTATGTATTATAACAGTTACAAAGAGCAACCATGGGAAGAGTGTACAACTAGTCACTCATACAACTTTAGACATTGTCTAATTTAAGTAGTCCACCTGAAGGTTTTATACTAGTTGTTATACCTATAACCTGCTTGTGAGTTTTTTATTTAAACACTCTGGTTCCTATAATCATTCACTTACCTATTCTACTAATTGTTTCAGTTTTCATCAGTGCAAATATGGTATAATTATTAGGTTTTTAAAGCAGTTCACTCATATGGAGAATTTTTGATCTTGTATTAAATCCATCAGAGTTTTTTGTTATCTAATTTCTAGTTAACCTAGTATTGTTATGATTGAAATCAATACTTGCAGTCAGAATAATCCTTAAACTGTTATATTTTTATAGAGTTTATACAATTTTAGTATTTTTTTACAACTTTACTAATATCTTGTATACTTTTGCAAGTCTTTTTATAATATCAATTCAGTTAATTCTGCATGATGTGATTTTATATCTGATTTAACTAGTAATTAATTTGATAAATTCTTTTTTCTAAGATTTTTGTTTGTACAGATCATCTATTTTAGGTTTCTGTCTTTAAATCAAGATTTTTACAAATAGTACTGTTAAAGATTGTATTATCTTTCTACTTGAGATTTCTAAATAAAGCTTCTTATTAAGTATATACTTTTTAGATTTATTTGTATAATATTATATATTCTTAAAATTAGGTTTAATATAATCAGAATTACAATATTATAATCTTAGTTATTTTAATAAAATTGTCATAATATAATTATTTTTTAAAATTCTATTACTAATAAGATTTAAATTCTAAACCTACTACTTAAAAAATAATAATATAATTACTATACTAGAATTACTATTTTTTTATAAGTAATAAATATTTATTTATAAAATTAATAGAGTATATAAAAGTGTTTTTATTTTATTAATTAATTTATTTTTTAAAAAACATTATTTTTTTGCAAAATAGAAAGATAATATTTAATAACTTATTTATATATTAATTTATATATTTCTATATAATTATCTTTAAATCTAATATAATTTTATTAAGAAAATCTTTTTTACAAATTTTAAATTTTTATTTTTTTTTATATTAAGATAACTTCTTTAATCTTTTGACTTTTATTAATAACTTTTTTAGTAATATGATTTTATAAACTACTACAAAAAAAGTATACAATTGGCTACATATAACTTTTTTATATTACCTATTTAAGAAGTTTGCTTAAAGGTTTTTTACAAATTACTATATCTAACACCTTTGCTTGAGTGTTCTATTTTAAATCCTCTAAACTTGCATATATATTAACATTACTAGGTTAAGTCCAGATTATTATTTTAATTTTAGGATTATTTTATTCTTAAGATAAACCTTTTAGAGCCTTTTATATATATTTTTATATTTGATCTAAGTATTACTATAGCAGAACTAATACCTGCAGTTAGAGTTATATTATTTAACTACTATGCTCTTGTAGAGTTTACTTAAATCTTAGTATTTACTTTATAATATACTTTTAGTACTTTAGTATATCTCTGTTTTTTATCAGACTTTTAATCCAGATAGTCTATATAGAACTACAATTAGTCTATTAGTATATTAGGTTAACCTAATATTCTTTGTTTTTGATTTATTTTAGCAGTCTGATTGGTGATATTTCTAAAACTTCTAACTTAAAAGTTCTTGTCTATTCAGATACTATGAACTTAATATTTGTTTTTTTAGGATAATATTTATAATAATGCTATTAAAGATTTGTACTATCTCTTTATTCAGGTTTTTTCAAATAGACTTCTTGTTTTCTAATTTTAACAGATTTACATAATTACAAGAGCTTATCTAGAGTTTGCATCACCTGATGCCAGTTTGCATTTCTCTATATAAACAGCTATACAAATATCTTATGATCTGCTAATTATATTGATATTATCATAATATAAATATTATATAAATAATTATCTAAATTTTTACTATCAATAAAATTTGAACAATTAACTTACTATTTAGAAAATTAACAACTTATCTATTTTACTAAGTTACCACATCTCTTAAAATTTTTTTTTATTTAACAGAAATATACTAATTTAATATAATTATTACTAATTTTTAATTATTACAATTTATTTTTTACTGTTCAAATATATAATTTCTTTTTATTCTTTATAAAAAAATATATACAAATTATAAAGTTTAGTTTATTTATTTAATTTTTTTTGCTACAAAATTTATAATTTTTACTAATTATACTTTAATACTTAACTTTTGTAAGTTGTTGAGGAATTGTTTCTATTTCTTTAGTATTGTAACAAAAGGGGTAGATAAAGAATCTTCATGGCCAAGGTAGTTAATATCATTATAATAAGGTGAAGGTAAGTGAAAACTAGTTCTTCTTCTATCACTATTATAAGAGTCTAAGTATTTGCTTCTTTTTCTAGAGTTTTTTCTTTTTCTAGAAGGATTTTAATAATAAGATCTGTTATAACTTCGAGAACAAGACCTTTGGTTGTATCTATTATTTTTTTTATAATTATCTCTTTGGTTGAATCATTGTTTAGCTTGTTTAGTTCTACATTCAGCAATAAAATGTTCTGTATGTTCACAGTAGTGGCAGTAATGTGAATCTTTAGTTAGAGGTCTGTTAGAGTTAAATATAGTTGCATAATTAGCAGATTGAGGTTGGGTAGTTGCTATTGCTAAGCCAAGTTAATACTAAGTTTGGCAATCTGGTCTGTTAGTTGTTTAATAGCTTTGTCTGTTTTTGTAATAGTGTTGGCAGCCATTACATGTTCATTTTCCTATTGTTTTGCAGTGGTAATAGTAGCATTTAGATTAGCAGGTTCGCTAGCTTACACATTAATAAAAAATTTAAGGTGTAGTTCATAGATAAATAATTGTTTGATAAAGTTAGCAGAGAAAGTATCACCAGGATCAACTCATTTTTTTAATTGGCTAAAACAATTGACATAGGCATCTACTATGTCTAGGCCTTGTTTGATGTCAAAAAGCTGTTTTTTCCAAATAGCTTTTTGTTAAATGCATAAAAGTAAAGTCTAAAAAGATGTTTAAAGCTTCTATTTTGGTTAACATTATCATCAAAAGCATTTGAGACAGAGTTAAGACTTTGCTACTAATTTAATGCAATTTCTTTTAAATATATAGGATTAAGTTCTAATTTTTAAGCAGTATCTTATTTGTTAGTAGTAATAGCTTTTCGAAAATCTTTGAGCCATTGTTCTGGGTCTTGGGTTCTATCACTATAAAAGAAGTTAGCTTTCATAAGAGCTTTTTTACTTTTATTTAGAGTATTGGTAAAGTTGGCTAT